TCTGTGGTTCTGTGTCTCTGTGTCTCTGTGTCTCTGTGTCTCTGTGTCTCTGTGTCTCTGTGTCTCTGTGTCTCTGTGTCTCTGTGTCTCTGTGTCTCTGTGTCTCTGTGTCTCTGTGTCTCTGTGTCTCTGTGTCTCTGTGTCTCTGTGTCTCTGTGTCTCTGTGTCTCTGTGTCTCTGTGTCTCTGTGTCTCTGTGTCTCTGTGTCTCTGTGTCTCTGTGTCTCTGTGTCTCTGTGTCTCTGTGTCTCTGTGTCTCTGTGTCTCTGTGTCTCTGTGTCTCTGTGTCTCTGTGTCTCTGTGTCTCTGTGTCTCTGTGTCTCTGTGTGTCTGTGTCTGTGTCTGTGTCTGTGTCTGTGTCTGTGTTTTTTTGAAAGAGGCTTATATTTTTGGTTTGCTGTGACATTTACGCTCCCTCCCACCAACATGGCAATTCACAGGGGGTTCCTTTAAGATGAAACTGATCTCTTTTAAGGGAAGCCTTTGCAGGTTGGTTTGAAGATGTTTGAAGGGAATCCAATGGAAAACCTCGTTTTGGGCCTGGTGTTTGGTGTTTTGGATCTTTGGGACATGAAATGGCTTTCCATTCAACCTAGCAAAGCTCATGGGCATTTTGCTCTGAAAGGAAGAGCAGCCGAGGAAAAGGAACCGCCTCAAAATTGCTTGGAAGCAAAGTGATGTCCACCAAACAGTCCACCAAAGGGTCCGTTCCCATGGGACCTTGTTCAACCCCCCAACCTCTTGGCCTGTACACGCGTGTGACTCAACTTGTACATGTTTATATATATATATATACATTATATGCAACGTAATAAATAAATACATACGCACGTACGTACGTACATACGTACATAAATACATTGATTCATACATTCAAACATTCATACTACATGCATACATTCATACCTTCATACATTCATGTATTCATTCATAGATACATACGTCCATGCACACAGACAGACAGACAAACAGTCAGACAGACAGACAGACAGACGGACAGACGGACAGGAAGGCAGGCATGCAGGTAGACAGACAGAGAGACAGAGAGACAGAGAAACAGACAGGCAGGCAGGCAGACAGACAGACATACAGACATACATTCATACATGCATGTACGCGGTTTAGCATTTTGTTTGGCGATCATAGGGGCGGGGCTCAATGTATCCTCATCGGGCGCGAAGAAAGGTGGGATTATTGGATGAACAACAGGCTGCTTCGCTGTTGAGATGTTCCTATTGTTTGGCAACAGCTTGGGATAACATGGACACCAACTGCTATCTTGCACACACTTGCCCGAAATCCGTGAATTTTCCTACAGAGAACTACTTGGGTGTTCGGCCAAGTCAGTATGTTGTTGGCCGCCCAGACATTTATAACCCAATAATAAGCCCCCCGCCCCTTTCAGTGGGTCAACTTTGCCGGAAGATCCAAGTAGGTTGGTTGGGGCAAGCAAGCAGCTCCCGTGAACAAAGGGGCACTTTTGGAGAGCCCCGGAAGGGAGTGGCCATTTTGCTTTGGGGATCCTTAGGTTGCGGGCTGCTGGGCCCATTATTTTACCACTATCAAAGTCACCCCGTTCAGTGGCGGCTTAAAAGGATACCACCCCAGTTTCTGACTTTGATGGCCCCTAGAAAGCAGTCAAGATCTTGACTGCAATAGGGGTTTGGGGACTTGAACCCTTGGCCCTTGAGGGTAAATGGAAACCCCCCCCTCAACCACCAATGCATCAAACCACGGCTTCCAGGTGTTGCTGGACGGCACCGAGGCGGTGGCGGCCTTGCTCCTCGTCCTGTGATGTTGGTGACGGATGGTTTCCTCATGAGCGGCAGGTTTTAAAAATCAAAAACGCACACAAGCCCAATGGGGTTATAACTAGGGGATCTTAACAAGTTCAGGGGATCTTCATTAATTAATTGCACAACGTCTTCGTTTGAGGTGGTTTAGCGGGATGTTTCCATGCACCCACGGCGCTGCAGCCAGAAGAAAACAGTTTGGCCATTGCCCGGAGTGCGCGGAAGATCTTTGAAGCTCCAAAGCAGACCGCTGGCATGGCTGGAGAGCAACTCTTGCTCCTTCGGCTTCGAGTTCCCTTGACGCTAGTTGCGGCACCTGCTCTTGCTAGTTCTGTGGCACGTTTGCTCGCGCAACATGACTTGCTGACGGCTGACAGTGTCATGCTGAGGTGCCCGCCGGAAGAGTTCACAATGGTCGCCCTTTCCCATGGACATGTACGGACCCTGACTTTTCACTTTGCAAAACTCAGCGCGGGACTTGCACATGGTTCCCATGGAGAAACAGGGCCTACCCTCGATTGAGCTCGTTTCGTTTTGCTCACAAAGAACTGGGTTCTTGATTGCTATTGGGTTGGATCTTTAGACTTTTACTTTTTGGGAAATAAAGGTGTTTTCCACGAAACCCCAAAAAAGTTAAACTTTTTGCAGGGGGGTCAAGAGCAACCAAGGGTTGGTCCAGCTGACTTTCTGCGAGTCTTCCAAACTCTGCTTGCGAGTTTGATCTGTGCTTCGTCTCTTGGTTCGACGATTGCCGTCTGGACCAGGTCGTTCGGAGATGTGAGGTAACTTTGAGGAACCAAGTTGCAAAGTCGTGTAGCCGGCTCAAAATGACAGGGTTTGGCCTTCAGGGAGTTGGCGTTTGTTTGAATAGGGGGTGTCTCTTTTTTTTCAGGTACCCCTTTTGACACACCCAGCAGCAGAAGGATTTTGTCGCTGTGCCCGTACTTTTTTCCTAGCACCCAACCACTCCTCCTCCTGGCTGAGGTTGGTGCAGCAAGCTGCAGCTCCTTTGGCCGATATTTCCTGAGGTCACTGTCCAACCGCTACTCCCTTCAGATTAACATGGAGCCCTACCACACAACAAACACCCCATCTCTAGCGGAAGCTCCTTTTGGGAATGAACTTCGAGTTTGGATTCCTTCCATTTTGTAGAGAGGGTTCGAGCCAATCCAGGAGGTTTTGGGGACATGGGGAGTTTCGGGTATTCGGTGTCGATATGGTTGCCGGATTTCCACTTGAGACGAGCCCAAAAGGGTGCGCCTGGTTTTGAGGGTACCCTTTTGGGGGTGGTTTGAAGGGAAACCAAAAGCACACGGGGCTCCAAATCCTTAAAAAAGCCAGACGCAAATGGAAGATGCGTGGGGATTCTTGGGAAAGATAGGTGCCCTTTCAGAAGATTTTGTTTCATTATTCCAGATGTCTACCCATCATTCGATTCCTTACATCTTGCTTTTTTAAGGGACCCCGAAAGTACCCTCAAAAAAGACACACACCCACATGGTGTCAGGTGGATGTTCGTACTGCCAGGTTTTGATTCTGATTCAGATCGCAGACCTTTCGAGGAGGTCGCAGTGTGGCCGGAAAGGAACAAAACACATCTCACCTTTTTGAAGATAGACATGATAGACGTCTCTCCTGACTTGCGCCATCCGACCTTGAGAACCCCTCACAGTGTTGTTTTGGGGACTTGAACCCTCCCTTGACCACCTGCCCCCCCCCCCCCCACACCACCAGATCCGTCGGGCAGCTGCCCTCGAGGCGTCCACGGTGAGCTCGGAGAGCGGACCCCTGGCCTTCCCTGCGGCGCGCCTGGATCTGGCGAGCCGCCAGGTGATGCTGGCCCATCGCGCCTCGGTTCTTGTGGATTCAGAGTGACGCAGCCCCTGGAACTTGCTGGGAAGACTTCCTTCCATGAACTTTACCCCAAAAACCCAGCAACAGTGACTGAAAAAAGCAGCAACTTGGCGATCTAGGTTGTTCTATTTACAGTGGCCCAGGTTAGTCTCAGGGAGAGTATTGCTTTCCTGGAGCCTCATGGCCACATTCTCGGATCATGGAGACTCCAGTTGTTGTCTTCGGGTTCCGAGCCCCTCCGAAAGGATGACCCGGGGGTTCTTCGTGTGTTTTGAGGTTCGGACAAAATAATCCAGCCATGTGCCGCCGATGATGGTTGTTTGGTGCTTAAAAAATGCGATTTGGCCATGTTTGGCCGATTTGTGCGATGAGGGTTTGGATGTTGTTGATTTGCTTGGGCCGTTTGTTGCAAGTTGCTTTGGTTGTTGATCTGGTTGGGGGCACTGTTTGGACCTTTTTCCGGGAGGTTCAAACTCAACAAGAAGCAACCATTTGGGGCGTGTACAGTGTATCATGGGGCCAGGTTTAGTTTGGGGTGTCAAAATAGTTGATTCAATCTGAATGGGATTCCTCCAACGCACATGTGGTTCATGTGCCGGGCCAAGCCCCGGGGGTTTCCACGGCTCCGCTCTCCGCTCTCGAGGCATTTTCAAAGAGCGGCTCTTGATGTGCCCTTGGCTGCACGACGCTGGCTTTTGACTAGGTTCATCGGATGGTCCATGCCACCAATCACAGTCACTCGACCAAGTTTTGCGTTAGCCACGGTTAATGGCCCAACATTCCTTGCAGAGTGAAAGTAGGTCGAGGGCACCACTCCCTTTCAGAAGTTACTACGGTCAAGATGCAGTTTCCCCAGCCGACAACCTGAAACGATTGATTTCGAAGCGATTTCGAGCACTCGAGCAGATCCTGTATTCAAAAGTACGAACCCAATTCGTAGATGTTCTAAAAAGGGGCCACATGTGACAACCTCCCCTCCTGCGGCTATAGCTTTCTCTCCAAATCGGTAAGATGGTGTTCGACCCACGTCGGCAGGATCTACGCAAACGCCACGAACAACACGAATGCCACGGACGGAGCTTGGCCGTCCGCGAGCATTGCAGCCTTTGAGATGCTTGGTTTTGCAGTGGCAGCGCCTTTTCACTTTTTTTCACTTGGGTGCATCATTTTTGGGGGGAACCCTCTTTCGGATTGTTTTAAAGGTATATGTTGTTTTGTGTTTATTCCACATTGGATTGAATTTTCTCGCCCGTTTCTGAGTTACTGAGCAGTTTCTCTGGAACTTGGACATTGTGTTGGACCCTTTAGCAGGTTCCCACGTCCCACGTCGAATGTTCAACCCCCAGAGATACAGCTCCTTCCTTTGCAAGACCCTTTTCCTCATTCCTCTCATTTTCCCTGTCCTTTTGGGATGGGTGTTCCTTGACATGTCAATCGGTTTGCTGTTAACACGGCTCTTTGGTTTGACCTGCAACCTTCATTGAGCCTTTGTGGAAAATGAATTTGTTCCCTCTCGCCAGCGAACAATTGATCACTGGTCAGTTGGACCCGCCCTTTCTCATTTGTTCAAAACCGACCCTTTAACCTTGGGGTTTCTCTTTTTGGTCTACTTTTAGTAAAGGTCCAAAAAGGTTCACCCGTTTTTTCCAGGTCCTTTGGGCACGTGAGCTTGCGTCCGGGGAAAGTCGGAAAGTCCTTTGCAAGGACCGCCCAGGAGCATTTGAAGACCGGGGGCGCCGGCCTTCCGCCCGTGATCTTGAGCCGGGAGGAGCCACCGGCGTTCGTGCATGTGTGTGTGTGTGTGCGGGCGGCGGGCGGGTCAGGCGTGGGTTTGTGTGTGTGCTTTTGTGGTTGGAGGGAAACCAAAAGGAAAATCCACCATTTTTGGGGTCCCGAGTCCAAATCCCAATTTTGACGCATTGACATTGATACCTGCTATCCATGTGTTGCATCGTTTTCCTTTTTGGGGTTTTGCCAGAGTCAGGGTTGGCCCCCCCTTGTCTAGCCATGTTTCAGCCATCAACGGTTGTAGCAAATGTCAAATCCCTGATTTTGTTGTCAGTTCCAAAAAGGTTTGTCAAGATCTCTTTGGGCTGTAGCAGACCATTGGAACCTGCCAACTCGTAAGATAGGTTGCAAAGTTGGCGCACGTTGAACCAACCGGACCCGATTTGGTCATTTTTGCAAGGAGGTTGAACATAATTTGGTTGAACCCTTTTAATGCACGCAGCCCGTTCCGCTTAAGCAATTAGGCAGCCACACAGGGTGCTTTTTGAGGTTGCAGTTTGATTTGACTGAACCAACCTTCAGTGTGCAGCTCGGGTCAAACAAAACCTTTTCCTTTGGGGGGGACGTTCTGCCTTTGCGGGACTGCAAAAGCATGCACTCAGCTTTCAATAAGTGTTTTGAACAGTTTCCCGACGAACAAGCGGATTGCTCTTTGGACCAACCCTAAAATCCTGTGGCTTGGCACTGTTATTGCCACAGTTCGTCATGATCAAAAAGTATATTATTACTCAGTGCTTCCATTTCCCTGTATAGGTACCCAAAAGTACCAGCCTTTCAAAACCCAAGGAACAATGGCAAGGGTTCCCTACTGTGGCCTGGGATCCACTGGATGAATTCTGCGGCCTTCCCGAAACTATGAGGTGTTGCCACCGGAGCGTCCGCCCGTCACGGCGGGGGTTTTTTGGGAAGCCGATCGCCGCCGCGAGCGCAAGTTAACTCCGTTGGATCGTTCGCGTTCTCCTTGGCTAAAAGGTGCCCTCCAACATGGAAGCCACCACACCCCATGAAGAGGAAAGCTATTACTTCCAGCCCGACACGGGTTTCATAAACGGGAGCGCGCCCATGGCAAGGACATACTCGACCAATGGGACAATGCTGCTTGGCGCCGTGCGGGGCAAGGCGTTTTGCTTTCTCGGCATAGCCCCTAGGGGAAGCGAGGCATGGTATGTCAATCCGATCAACTCATATCCCATTGGAGGTGTCTTATTGCGATGATACAGTTTTAGGTTAGCTGTAAAGTGGTGGGGTGAGGTTGGTGGGGTGAGGTTTGCAGGAAGTGCCGGGTTGTCCAAATTCAATCCTTGGTTGCTGGATGGTAGTGGGGCCCCTTTTTTTAGTGCTGTCGCACTACGGCTTACGGACTGAGTTTACGGATCCCCCTGCCTTTTGGAACAGTCAAGAAATGGGTAGGTGCCAAACCCCAAGAAAATGGGCTGGGTAAGTACCCTCCAAGGATCATGAAAGCCAGGAGGGCTTTGGAAGCCGATAGTCAATGTTCACTGTCCACCTCTGTGATTGTTGGGAGGGTATCAACTCTTCACCTGGTTGTCAACATGTTCTCACAGCTTTTGTCTGGTTCTATGTCAGTTTTAGTAGGGGGATGGATGCAGAGAAGATGAGAAGATGTTTTGTAGGTGGCATGTTTTCATATCTGCTCAGTTTTAGTAGGGGGCTGCACACATGTCGAAGATGTGTTTTTGGTAGCATCCCAACGGTTTGTAAAGAGTTTGCCAACTCCCAAAAACCCACGCCGATCCGAGAGCCGACAGGTGATGGCTGCCTGGCAAGTCTTCAAGGCCGCTGTGGACCCAGGCGAGACCTCGGAGAGCTTTTGGGTAAGTGGGTAAGTGGGACACCACCCCACCTTCATACCTCCAAGCCACCGTTCCCTAAACCAAGGTTTGCCTGACATCTTGTCCCAAAAAGCCGTCCCTTTACCCAACAAAAACCGGTCGCCTCCAGCCGCACCGACGCGGAGCGCTTTCGGAACGCTCCGCGCCGCGGCGAGTCGCCCAAGGGAGCTCGGACGTGTCGCTGATGAGCCAAAGCTTGGCCACATTGTCCCGACAGCTGGAGATCGCGCTGCCCTTGCCACCCGACGGAAAACACCGGCAGCACGCGCCGCTCTTTTTTCCCCGAGAAGGTTTTTTGTTGCCGACGGAGAGGCTCAACCGGAAAAACCGCCGAATAAATTGGTGTCTGGGTCCCCCGAGAAAAACACTATGGCGCGATGGGTATGTCAAAATCGGGATTTGACCCCCAAATTGGTAGTTTTGCTGTTGATGTCCCTTCATTCCACCCCAAAAGGAGGGTTCCCCCAAAAAAGGAAAAACAATCCAATAGACATACCCACGAGCCGATCCAAAGACTCTACGTCAAAGATTTTCCGAAGCCAAAGACAAGCCATCACTGACATCCCTTCAAAGACATTGCCCTTGGGCCAGAAGAAGCACCAAAGACATCCAGGGTCTCGTGCTACTTCTCTTGTCTCTTCCGAGCCAGGTTCCTTCAAAACTTCTGATCATTGCTACTACGTAGCGCTGTGCCATGGGGATTCAACACAAATGATGTGCCTCATCACTTGTGACTTCTTTTTCCGATGTGCGATTGGGAGATATGACTTTCACTCCATCACCAGTGCTTGCTGCTGCTGCTGCTGCTGCTGCTGCTGCTGCTGCTGCTGCTGCTGCTGCTGCTGCTGCTGCTGCTGCTGCTGCTGCTGCTGCTGCTGCTGCTGCTGCTGCTGCTGCTGCTGCTGCTGCTGCTGCTGCTGCTGCTGCTGCTGCTGCTGCTGCTGCTGCTGCTGCTGCTGCTGCTGCTGCTGCTGCTGCTGCTGCTGCTGCTGCTGCTGCTGCTGCTGCTGCTGCTGCTGCTGCTGCTGCTGCTGCTGCTGCTGCTGCTGCTGCTGCTGCTGCTGCTGCTGCTGCTGCTGCTGCTGCTGCTGCTGCTGCTGCTGCTGCTGCTGCTGCTGCTGCTGCTGCTGCTGCTGCTGCTGCTGCTGCTGCTGCTGCTGCTGCTGCTGCTGCTGCTGCTGCTGCTGCTGCTGCTGCTGCTGCTGCTGCTGCTGCTGCTGCTGCTGCTGCTGCTGCTGCTGCTGCTGCTGCTGCTGCTGCTGCTGCTGCTGCTGCTGCTGCTGCTGCTGCTGCTGCTGCTGCTGCTGCTGCTGCTGCTGCTGCTGCTGCTGCTGCTGCTGCTGCTGCTGCTGCTGCTGCTTGGCAGAAGCTTTGCTTGGGGAACAGCCGCGACCAATACTGCGACCGCTAAAACTGAGATCCTGTCCGCTCAGGTATGCTATGCCTGATGAGGTACTCCCTCCGGACTACCTGTGGCCCATTTTGGTGTATTCCGCAACTCGTCCAGGCAAACTCTTGCTCATTGAGCCTACACTTTTGCTGTTGCACTTTTCAGAGAAAGCCATTCGTTAAGGTGTTGTTTCTGTGTTTTTCATGTGGTTCCAATGGACCTTAGTTGCCCAACGCAAACCGACCCTTCGACCTGTTTGTTCCCCTTTAGCGTCTAGGTCCCAAAGGTGAACCGATTTTGATTTCCAGTGGTGCAAGTGGGGCAATGAGATGCCGGTTGGCTCCAAACAATTCAAACGGAAAGGGATATGATGGCAAATGGGTTCTGACCCTAATCAGTGATTTCCCCAGCCTGTGCAGATCATTGTGCTTTTGGCAACTGGATTTCAATTGAAACAGGGATTCCTTGACATGAGCCTACCTTAGAGGTCCTGCTAAGGGTCGGGAACACCTTGAAGCCTTGATAAGAGGGATCTGGACGCGAGAGACATCGGCCTATCAGGATCGGGGATCAGGAGGTGGGCACACTCAATTTACCCACAAAATGACAGGACCCCAGAAACATGTCACTGTCCTCGGGGGAGCAGATATTCTTGCGCGTTGCGCATGTGATCTTGGAACACTGCTCTGGGCGGTCAGCAAGCCTGGTTGCTTGGGCGACAAATGTGATGGAAGTGAAAATCACCTCCGTCTCCTGACTTACCACCTTTCGTCGTTGTGGATTGCCTCTACCCTTTTATCCTTGGGTCTGGGAGCAGTGCGTTGCTCATGGACCCTTGGAGCTGCCTAAGGCGATCCTTACGTCTAGGATGAACCCTGTACATCCGGCAGCTGCTGCAGACTGTGTCGCGCAAGCGCTGCGGAAGTGGTTGTTGGTTTTGTTCGAGGATGCGTCGCATAAGCAAAACGTCTGTTCGCATAAGGCCCGCGAAAGCTTTCGTGTAAGCCGCGGCCAGTAGAACCAAAAGTCAGCCGGTTTCAGGCACCGCTCCTGTGACCCCAAACAGAACGCCCAGGTCAGTAGACTCCTCGCGCCGCTTTATTTCTTCCTTCAAACGACACGCGCCGGAAACTCACCTTCAGTTGACCCACACAATCAAAGCCTGGGTAAGTGAAGGTTAGTAAGGGACGATCCCAGCCATACATAGCTGCCGCCTTCTTAGTTCAACTAGTTCTTTACATCTGGGTCGACCATTTTTGTACCAGGGTTTGATTGTGACCCAGATACTGATTACCTGAATCCGATCGGGGCGTGGTAAACCTCTCCCTGAGGAGTTGCTTCGAAGGCCTGGTCCTTCTCCAGGTTTTTTCTCTGGTATTTCCAGGCTGAAAACTAGGAGTTTCAGATGTTTCAAATGCAATCAAAAAGCAGTGGCTTGCAACAGGCAGGAGTGAACATCAAAAACTAGGAGTGGTCCTTGGGGGAAACAGTTGGAAACAAGTCTCTTTTTTTTGCGTTGTTTGCGCCCGCAGCAATACAGCGCAGTACACTATCCCAGCAGCTCTGTGCACTCGAGTTGGTTTTCCACCACCGCTTTTGCCGAAAATGCACTCTCGGGAAACTCAGTCTTTTGTTGACTTGCGAGAGTTTGTTTGTTTGTTTTTGCGCTGAGTTTCAGGTGTGGTGCTTTCCTTTTTTGTTGCCAAATTGTCATCCAAAGGAGCAAATTCTCGAATTCAGAATATTTCGGAGCACTGAATAGCTGGTTCTGATTGAACGATTCCGATTCCGAAGATGTCTGAAATGGAGGGCTCCTTCAGCACCGAAGAGTTGAAAATTTCTAGATGTTTCAGGTGTGCAAGCCAGGAATCAATTTCTAGGAGTTTTACCTCAAACACTAGGAGTTTGAAAACTCTGTGACCCTCAAAAAACCGGTAGACTCCGGATTTTACGCTAGATTTCCATCTGGAAGATCCAGGGGGATGTCAAAAGGACCGAACTGTTTGGGGCCCAGGAAGGTGTAGGGAAACCTTTCGGTTCCTTTCGGTTCCTTGTGCGTGCCCAGGAACCATTGTATGGATTGAGGGCTGCAGCTATCCACTTTCAGTTTCCTCCGAGCTCGTTTCAGGTACTTTCTCGTGCCGTGTGCCTTCCCTCGAGCGCCAGTTGAGTTTATATGGGATGTGTGGAATCTTCACGGGGTCCTTTTGGTGAGGTAAGGGGGCATAGGAACCCAGTTTTGGGCTATGCCACTCGACTTGCCCAAAACTGGTTCACGTGCATTTTTCTTCCCATCCACAAAAACACACACCCCTTCCGTTCGGACTCGTGCTGAGGCAATCGCCGTGTTTGCCCTTGCCACAGCCTGTTCTGCTATCTGCCTTTTATGTTGCTACCGGCGGAAACAACTCCTGGAGACTGGGGCGAAGCTGTAATTTCAGCCGTATGGTTTTAGTTCAGGCGAAACGCCTAAGGCGGGGGGTTGGGAATGGCACCTTCCATCCACTGTGATAGGAAGGTGTAAGTGGAAGCCGTCCAACCTTTTCGCAGAAGCACGGGCATTTTGACTCAGCTTGGTCGAACATGAAGCGTTTGATACTGGAATGAAGCCCCCCGGAAGGGGGTCTCCTCCATCGGCCCATAGGACTCTTTTGCGACTCGGATTGGGGTGCCCACCCGAAATCCCCCCCCCCCCCCACCTGCTGAAGGAGTCAACGAGCATCACCGGATGCCGGAGGCAAGCACCTCTTATAAATACATTCATACTCTGGTCAACTGTGTACCCCACCCCTGCTCAGCCGGCCCCAATTTGGGGCGCACTACCCTAGCTACTCACTTCCTGAGTTGGTGGACTTTAAACTTTTTGGAAAGACCATTTTAGAGGTAAATAAGAAGTTCGCACTTTTTTGGCCAGTCAACTTGGAAAGTGAAGCTATGGCGCCGAAGACGAGTTATGGATGTGAGTGGAACCCAACAAAAGCTGGGATCTGGTTCCGTGTTTCCTTCCTGAAATCTAGACCGAAAAGTGTGCCACCAAACATTTTATGGGCCGAATGTTTGAAGCTTGGGATACACCGGTTGAGCGGGGTTAGTGGCATGACCTCGAAAGCCGTTGGCGTGATCTGCCACACTGCAGATATGCGTCCAAGCAAAGCTTTCGGGGCACTTCCAATGTGGGACGTCGCGTGTTCAAAACGCACGACCTTGGTTCCGATCTGATGTTGAGCCCCCGATCGTGCCGAAACATCGACCGGCCGTCAGCTTGCTAGCAGCTGATGCTGAGTTTGGTTTGAAATGTCCTTCTCTATGCCCACCTAATGCCTGTTTGAACTCTTTTGCCCAGAGGCTCCTGGGGCGTTCAATGGACAACCCGACCCTCCATTAGACATCGCGGAGGTGGTTGGGGGTCTCAAATCTAGGTTGCTTGAAGGCCCCAAATCAGTCGGGAGCCTGGGAACTGTCCTTGGCATCTTAGGGGAATGAGCTATGACCTAGTACCCTTTTCTTACGCTGGTTCTCAGCATAATGAGAGAATACCGCCACCATTCCCAAATTCTATCAACAGTTCAAATATTCCTGAGACTGTGTTCAAGATGCTGAGAGAAGTGGAATGAGAGCTAGTCTTTCCTGCAAAAAGAGAAGTATACCCTCCCACCAACTAACATGGAAGTGCAACAAGGCCCTTTCCAAGAGGAAAGTAGTCTTTCTAAAGGGGTCTGTGCACTTCCATGTTTGCTGGTGGGAGGGTACCAGTTAACCATAAAGATGTCTTTCCTGTTGTCAATTTCCTCTTTCAGGCTCAGGTTGATTTTATTGTACACTGTTGGCGTTTGTTTCTTGATATGAGCGGTCTGGTTGCGTAAATAGCCCAGGTTCACTGGCCCCAGGATGCCACAAATGGGTCATTGTTCCATGGTTTTGCAAGCACGTTTTAACCACGTTGGTGGAAACTCTGGGTGAATCACCCGAGGTCGAGCCAGGCATGAGAACCTGAGGGCTCCATGTTCACCTCGTCTGGAGGCTAAAATTTGATTTTTGCTGATTCGGAGCATTTTTGACAGTCGCAGGCTTTTGCCTTTGCAACAGAACCTGAGTCACGCGGCTCAGGACATTGTTTCGGGCATGTCTCCTTTGCTGCAAGCACCTTTTTGGTTGGGCTTGTGTGCAGACATGTAAACTCATACCTGTGACTCCATGGAGTTGAACATCATGCCTTTAGGATTGAACATGATTTGCAACCTCATGTGTTATTGGCTGGAGTTACATTTAGTCCTTGGGGCTTTAGTCTGCTGGAAACTCTTGGGCCGCGACATGTATGGGACCAGCCAGGCGAAGTGCTCTGAAGTCGAACTCACCCCCTCCAATGACAAACGGTTTTGAGTTCTTTGACACAACGGTCTTCTCCCCCCCCGGTCCTTCGGGAATCGTCAGCTGTATCGGAGTCAAGAAAAGCCCGTCGACAAAGACGCGTTCTGCGGCAAAGCTAGGTCCCCCAGCTAGGTGCCCTTTTACCGTTTCTTTTTTGGGGGAGGGTTCCCCCAAAATAGACCACATATTTTGTTTAGTACCCTTAGTACCCTTATTTTAACCTCTCTACTGGACCTAGAAAAGCTAAGACATGCTCGCCAAAGGCATCAGTCCGCGGGGACTTGAGTCCCGCTCGCCCGCCTTTTGGGGACGGGTTTCAATGGCGCGACAATAAGCATCGAAGCAGATCCGGCGAAGAGGCACCACGTGATCGATGTCGGCTTCGCCTTTGGGCTCAGTGTTTCCAAGACAATGTCAGAGCATTTACGGACAACAGGCTTGACTCACTTGCTTTCCCACAAGCTTGAATTCGAACACATTTCAAGGTCTCCTAACGTAAACCACTAGTATATGTTTCAGCGACATCCCGTGGCTTCGGCCGCGTATGGTTTATCTCCAGATACTAAGTGCCCCAAGTGGCTTACGTGCAGGGTAGTTCCCACTTAGAGTCCTGATCAACTGTGGCTGAACAAGTGGGGTGGTCATCGAATCACATCAACTCAATTGCCCCTTTACCTTACTTCTAACGACCCCGCCAAGGTGCACAACATTTTTTTCTCGCGATGTGGCTGTGGGTCAAAACCAATGGGATCCCATTTTGGGGTAGGTGCACCACCCATGCTAGTCTATTTTAGTGGGGATTGGGATGTTCACTGGGGGTGCGGGATTTTGACTCATGGCCATGTCATCAATCTGTCGCTGGGCAGTTAGCAGACCAATGCATCATCATTGTGTTGAAGTCTTGTTCGAGCATGGCACATCGTGTCTTTGCAAGCAATGCCGATCATTTGAGTTTTGGGGGTCGCGTATCGCGTGTGACAGTTGCACAGGCACACGGGGATTGCGCTGGGCAGGTTGCTGGGCAGGCAGCAAACATGCTTTGTGGAGGCGGAGGTTTGATTAATATACATGCTCCGATCGCTTTCACCAAGCCAAGCAGGTGTCTTAACGCGTACGAACGAAGCCCATTTGCCTGAACCCATGTAGCACCATTTTTTTCGCCAGGGGGGTTCTTCACTATCGCACAAGTCTCTTTTTCATTGGAGTTAAGCTTGTTTTTGTGGAGCTATACCCCCAAGTGGCTGGTGACTTGCAGAGAACAACCAACACTCAGATGCTGCGCAACGACATTACGCAAAGTGTCTGGCTGGTGCAATGTTGACTGACATATCAGGAATGCTGATAGAAGATTGCTCAGATTCAGCATTGAGACCTCTAGTGCTAAATATAGTCTTATGTTCAAAAGGAGACCGAACGCGCATGGGTATGTTTACTGTTTTCCGGACCGTTTTCAGCCCCGGCTTAGAAGTTGTCAGTTCAGATTCTTCTGGGCAACTTTGTGAGTGCACCCTTCCATTTGCTTAAGATTCTTGATGTTCATGTGTTGGTTTTAAAGGACATCTATCACTGGACATAGTTTTGCTTACTCCCAGAGCCTCTGGATTTTGTACATGTTAGTGATAGTCAAACAAATCAGATTGTTGGCCAATGCTCTGAGTTTGTGGTTCCGTCCCGGGGACAGAAACACAAACGCTGGCAGCTGTGAGCCCAACGAATGAGCCGAAAGACGGAGTTTGAATTGAGTGGTGTGTGCGTTTTAAGCCGGAGACTTGAGTTGTCCAGCGGGTTCGGAAAGCGAAAGGCACCATGCGGTTTCTTTCTTGTGGGTTCTCTTGATTTTAGTCAACGCTTAGGGAGACCGCGTCCGCCCAACCGAACCCACTGGGTAAGCACAGAAGGCACAGTCTTCCAGGCTGAAACAGACCTCCAGTGTTGTTTGTCATTGGTTTAGGATCGGGTTTCCTTTTAGAAACAACTAATTTTCGAGGTATGGGATGATTCCATGGTGGAATATGTATTGTTGCCACATTCTAGGAACCACGAGGACAAGAATTGCCGGGGCAATCAGCGACTCAGTGCGGTTGCTCCGACGAGAGCCTGCAAAGCAGGATGGAGCGATCGAACCCCAAAGCCAAACCTGTGGCGGTTGCGCTGACCTTACCAGCGACAAACATCGAACCCCACAAAACGAAGCATGTCAAAGGAGTCTCGATCCTGTTGGGGATTGCAGGGGCCGATGATTTCTGTGGTTTTGGGTTCCTTCACAAGCACCCAAGGCGTGGGGGAAGCATGCATATACGACACCCAAGCTCAAAGCCAAGAAGGTTGAAGGCGAAGGCTTTTCGGCGTTGGCTGGCTGAAAGTACTTGACATCAGGGTGATGCAATGAGAAGCTCTTCCCCCAATGACATTGATCCAGGCATCCGCTCACAGGTGCTAAGGGTCAGATCGTTTTGAAGTACACCGCTGGCGTTGGTTGCGACGCACAGAGGCTGAGAAGAGAATGAAGGAAATGGTGCCGTGCGCAAGCGTCAGAATGAACCGCGCAAACTCCACCCAAACTGTATTCGAGAGGAAACTGTTGAGCCCCCCTGTTGGGATTCGGTTGAATGTGCAGAGTACGGGAAGCGGATCATGTTGGCTTCCCTTGAGACATAGAATAGACATAGGCCAAATGGGATCCTTCGTCCGTCTCCCTTGTGGCTACCAGTTGAGTGGCTCCTTGAGAAGTCTGCAGTGAAGATTTCCTTCAAATTGGGGCGACCCAAGTAATGTATGTGTTGTGGTTAGTTTGCCCTGAAAATGCAACCCCAAAAGTGTATCCTCCAAAAAAGACAGACCCAAATTTATTCCTTGTTACTACAGACCCAAGGAAAATTGTTTTTTCCCAATCACAATACCGTTATGCTGACGACTGCGCCTTCAAAAAGAGTTCGGGGGAAAATCCTAAGGAGGAATGGTGGAAGAATGTGGAAGAGCCATGGGGGGAAATCCCTGTTAGTCATCATTTTCTTTGGTCCCACAAATTGTCTTGTTTGTATCTCTAGGGGTTTGTCTCACCCCCGGAAGGCCACAAAGGACACCAAGAGGAACTACCCACACCGGGAGGGACAGCCACCAGCAGCCTTGAGCTTTGAGGATGAAGGCAGAGACCAGCAAATCCACATTGAGCGTTTCGTATCTGACGGTCTATG